CTCAATTAAAAAATGGGCAAAGATATGAACAGGCACTTCGCCAAAGAAAATAATTCAGGCAGCTAACAGACACATGGAGAAATGCTCACGATTACTATTCATTAGAGAAATCCAAATCAAACTACAATGAGATATCATCTCACCCCAATAAGGCTTGCATTAATCCAAAAAACACAAAATAACAAATGCTGGAGAGGTTGTGGAGACACTGGAACACTTATACACTGTTGGTGGAAATGTAAAATGGTACAACCACTTTGGAAATCGATTTGGCAGTTCCTTAAAAAGCTAGAAATAGAAGTACCATACGATACAGCAATTCCGCTCCTTGGAATACATCCTAGAGAAATAAGTGCCATCACACGAATAGATATATGCATACCCATGTTCTCTGCAGCACTGTTCATGATAGGAAAAAGATGGAAACAACCTAGGTGCCCATCAGTGGATGAATGGATAATCAAATTATGGTTTATTCACACACTGGAATACTACACAATGATAAAGAACGATGAATCTGTGAAACATAACATGGAAGAATCTGGAAGGTATTATGCTGAGTGAATTTAGTCAGTCACAAAAGGACAAATATTGTATAAGACCACTATTGTAAGAACTCAAGAAAAGGTTTAAATACAGAAGAAAACATTCTTTGATGTTTATGAGGGTGGGGAGGGAGGCAGAGGGTTATTCACTAACTAGATAGTAGACAGGAATTATCTTAGGTGAAGGGAAGGACAGCACACACTACAGGGGAAGTCAGCATAACTGGACTCAACCAAAAGCTAAGAAGTTTCCTAAATACAACCAAACAGTTTGAGGGACAGAGTCACAGGGGTAGGGGTCTGCGGACCATGGTTTCAGGGGACATCTAAGTCAAGTGGCATAACAAAGTTTATTAAGAAAATGTTCTGCATCCCACTTTGGTGAGTGGTGTTTGGAGTCTTAAAAGCTAGCAAGCAGCCATCTAAGATGCGTCAATTGGTCCCAACCCACTTGGAGTAAAGGAGCATGAAGAACACCAAATACACAAGGAATATATTAGCCCAAGAGACAGAAAGGGCCACATAAACCAAAGACTCCATCAGCCTTAGACCAGAAGAACTAGATGGTGCTCGGCTACCACCAATGACTGCCCTGACAGGGAATAAAACAGTCTCTGATAGAGCAGGAGAAAAGTGGGGTGCAGAACTCAAATTCTAGTAAAAAGTCCAGACTTAATGGTTTGATCGATATTGGAGGGACCCTGGAAGACATGGCCCCTGGACTCTGTCGGCCCAGAGCTGAAACCATTCCCAGGCCAACTCCTCAGACAAAGGTTAGACTGGACTATGGAACATAAAGTGATACTCGTGAGGAGTGTGCTTCTTAGCTCAAGTAGATACATGAGACTAAATGGGCAGCTCCTGTCCTGAGGCGAGATGAGAAGGCAGAGAGTGTCAGGAACTGGTTGAATGGACACAGGAAATCTGGGGTGAAAAGCAGGAGTGTGCTGTCACAGTATAGGGAGAGTAACCAGGGTCACACAGCAATGTGCGTATAAATTTTTGTATGAGAAACTGAGTTGTAAACTTTTACTTAAAGCACAATTTAAAAAAAAGAAAGAATTCTAGTTTAAGAGTTCAGTACAATGTAATGCCATGGGTTTAGAAATGAAATGGAAAAACCAGTCAAGAGAGATTAAATTTGAGGCTCTATGGTTGATTAGACTGATTGCTAACTAGGTCAACTATCTAAGAAATAACAGAATTACTTCTTGGTTGCTATAATTTGGTCACTGAAGCAACCAAATAACTCTAATGCAACTTACGTGGTCAAAAATTTTAGAAAGCCAAGTCTCGTGAGGAGCCACAAAACATTTTCTTCTGAATGTCTTAAATCTCCCCTACTAGTTCAGAAGAAGATAAACCAGAAAATTCTGAAGTGTACCCATTGGCAATAGAGACTAAAATAAGCTCCTCAGTTACACAGCTTTATCAACAAATTACCTAAACCATAAAAACTTATGACTAGATCCTTTTAACAATAGGAAACAGCAAAGAATAAGTTGCTAAGTGAAACTATCCGATGTAGCGTAGCACCAATTCACAGGCCCTCTTTAGCTTTTCTTTAGGGTGGTTGTCATGATGTATGTGGGGGGCAGAGTCAAGGGTTCTACAGTGTCAAGGGTACAGAAAATAAGAAGGCCAAGTGAGATTTCACAAGCATATGAAAAGATCCTATGTCTACATTTGTTCCATATGCAAATTGAGAAATCTTTATTTATAGAAAATGAAGAAGAGTACAAAAACTTTTTCAGTTAAGATAGTATACATGGAATAACAGCATTTTCCACATCTAACTGACAATTGAACATATGTCTACACAATTTTCCATAGTATCCTCTATATATATGACCCTACTGGACCCAGTAGAACTGCCCCATATGGTTTCCAAGGAGTGGCTGATAGATTCAAACTGCCAACCATTTGGTTAGCAGTCAAGCTCTTAACCACTGTGCCACCAGGGCTCCATTAAGTGGATAGCTGAGGCAAATTCCACCATTTTTAACCTACAAACAGGAACCTTAGTTCTCTAAAGGTGTGCAAGTGCGTGCAGAATCAGAGACTACAATCTAGACATCTGAGGAGTCATCCTTGAATTCCTCTCACATACCCCCCTACGTTAACTCAGCCTTCCAGTCCTACTGCTATGGTCTCCCAAACAGATAACAAATCTCACTAGCACTGATTAATAATTGATTCTAAACATAAAGCAAAATTTCTAAGGTACTCAAAGTCTTTCAGATTCCTCCAATAAAATCCTAACTCCAGTTGCAATCCATTTTTAATCCATGCTCAACAATGCTATCGCAGTAATCTTTAAACCTTAAATCTGTTTCTGTCATGCCTTTGCTTAAAAATTTCAAGTAGCTCCCTATCACCTTCAGGGTAAAGTCCAAATTCCTGAGCGTAGTATATAAGATACCTTATAATCTGACGCTTTCTGCCTAATTTGTTGCCCTTCCCAAATGTCCCATACTTCCTCATCTTCCTTCCTTCCTTCTGAAAATATTAAGTAGGTACTACTTTAGGGGTTTGACATATATAAATGAATAAAACAAAGATCCTTGCCTTGTAAACCTTACATTCTCATGGGAAAAGACAATAGATAGATCATGTAAAGGCCCTACGGCGGTGATGTGCTCTAGGTCCCAGGGACACCACAGAAGCCAGTGCGGCTACAGAGGAGTGAGCAAGGAGACACAAGACAAGGCTCAGATCCCAGAGGTAAAGGAAGCCAGATCATGTGCCCTGTAGGTCATGTGGTAAGAAGTCAGAATATAGGCCACACAAACCTAGACTTGCATCCTATTTTGTTGAGCTACTCACTGTAAGAGCTTTAGCAGTCACATAACCTCCCCAAACTTAATTTTCTCATTTATTAAATGGAAATAAGAAGAGCTAACTGGTTTCTGTGAGAACTGAAGATACTGACGATAGTACACATATGTGTTTATGTGTGTGTCAATACATCTATGTGTGTGTTTGTGTGTGTATACATATACAAAATACTAGCATAGTGGTATTCAGGAAAAGGTATAGAAGCAGTTCATAGTAAGTTGAAGGCACATATATGCAAGCCTCTACCCTCCTAATTATTCAAAAGGAGCCTCTGAGACGCCTAAATGAGTAATATGAGCTTTTGATATGTGTTGGGTGTTAAAATAGTTCTGAAAATTACAGGAGCAGATTTGGAAACAAAATACTTCTTTCATTCCATTCCCAGATATTTTCCTAGGCATCAAAGGCCTTCTCACAGCTGCCAAAAAGGCAGGAGAAACATCAGAGAAGTAGGGCTAAGCTTTTTCTTTCTTTCTCGAGTACATTTCTTCTTCCTTGTACAAATGACTCCCACTGCCATGAAATCTCTGTTTTCCCCTTTTTTCATTTTTAGAAAGAAAAGCAGAGCCAGAAAGTCTGGCAGACAGCAACTTAGGAGGATGTGGTGGAAGGTTTGTCGTGTAAGCCTGCTATTAATGGATAGGTTCATTAAACATGGTACCATGAGACTCTCACCCACCCAACCACTTGTATGAACTGGGTACATAACATAAATCATGCTTAGCCTCAGTTTCCTCTTCTGCAACATGAGACAATAAGAACTACTTCACCTGTTTGTTATAAAAATTAAATGAGATAATGTCTATGAAAAGCACTCTGCAAAATATAAAGTGGCATCCAAATGTTATAATTAGTCATCATTAGCAATATCTACATGTACTCTAAACTGGTGTCCTAGAATCAACAACAAAATTTACAGATAATTTTAAAAACTTGTAGGTAGGGAAGCAGGAAAAAGCAATTTTAATCTGGATGTTGGAAAAATATCTCTCAAAAGGTAATTAAAATAATCACAGTGGAAGTTTCCTATTGCTAAATTAATGGAAGAAATTTAAGCTGGCTGAGCCCAGGTGATGACTGTAAGAAAACCAAATTGCTGAGATAGCATTCTTGGTAGATAGTATCATACAACAAAAAAGAAATAATATACATGGAATACGTAAAATAGTAAGGCTTTGTTTCCTTATTGAGAACTATACCTGGAACACAGAGATCACTGAGGTTGAAAGAGAAGAGATAAATTATTCTGGCAAGCAAGATTATAAAAAGTAAAACTACATTGTTAAAGAGTGACACCTAAAAAAAATGAGCAAAATTTGGCTCATGAGAGATTCTGTTTTTCAAAATTGCTATGAAATTCTAAATAGCAGATAACACTGTCTTTAAATATGTGAAAAGAGCTGTTATTTACTGAATTATAATGTCTACCATAAAGGGTATACTTCTGTGTAAAAGGATGTAGTCATCTCTGGATCATGCAGCCAAGTAACAGGAAATTCAAATTTACTATCGTTCTGCCTCATACAGCACCTTGGAAACATGGACCCATTAGTTATATGGACACCAAAGTCATAAACTAAAATATTATTGATCTCACTTCCTCATTTAGTGCCTTACCCGACCGGTAGCGTTCATCTCGTGACCCTGAGGACCTTCGGCGGTGATAGCGAGAGGAAGAAGAAGGAGTAACAGGAGTTCGACGTTCTTGAGGCAAAGCTTGATCCACTCCTGAATTTAAGGGAAGAAAAACAAAATAAGGGTGAGAATTTACTTGGTAGCTGGAGTTAATTTATTTTGTGGAACAAATCGTTTGGTAAAATAAAGACCTGATTCACTGCATTTCCACAGCAAAGTCAGAGTCGCACGTGGGAAAGTTCATGGGGGCACAAGGGAGTATTGCAGACAATGCAAAAGGGTGAGAGAAAGTAGGAAACGTTCCAGGCTGGGAAAGAAGGGAAGTAAACTGCAAGGGAAACGCTATTCCACGCGAGGTCACTCATGTCCCAACACTGTAGTCTTCAAAAATACCAGGATATGCTCCTTCACATCGTTTAAGTGTCTACTGCATCATGGAAAGAAACACAAATTAAGCCACAATTGAAATCTTTAGAATTAGGAAAAATGGAGCCCAAGACATAGACTCAAGTTACAATCTTCCTTATATAACAAGTATATAGAGTTATATAAATTCTTGAGAAAATTTAAAATTACATTTATCATTTGTGGATATAAAGTTAACTTTAAAACAAATCTTATAGGATATTTTAACAATATAATGTAGGTATCTAGCATTTAGCATAAACTACCAGCTTTGTGTTCAGTGTAAATTTCTAACTCTCTGGAAACTTACTCCATTTTATGCTAAGTAATTTAACAAATTTTGTTTGAATACGGCTTTGATGAATTACCAAAAATGTGAACATGGTCAGATAAAATGATTCAGTAGATATCAGTCAAAAAAGTGACCCAAATATACTAACCACAGTATTTATTATACCTGGTAATGAGAGTATCAAAGAGTACAAATCAAGTATTATAGGAAAGATTTAATCTTCATAGTTCGGGCATAAAGAAATTCTGTGATGTTGAGCATTAACATTAATTGCTGCTTCTTCAGAAAAAGTCCAGTAATACTTAATTGAAAGTAAACCACACATAAAAAAATTAAGTTAATAAAAAGAAAATGTTTTAGTTTTAGTTTCTGTTTCTCGATGATGGGGTCCATGAGAGTTTATTGTCTATTTCCTTGGATTTAATACTCCTTTTATTCTGGTGATTTCTACACCTCAATTTTTGATGGCATGTTTATGAGTCCTGCAAATTAAATTAACTAATTAGAATTGTGAAAATATAGCTCCCAAGATGTAGACACTTTGTTCAAGTCCGTAAATTCTTCAATTAGTATGTTGAAGTGTATTATAAGTCTTATAATGAAAAATAGTAGTTACCTGGTATTTACATGCGTATTTACAAATATAGACTTATAACCCTAATTCTTTAATTGTCAATTTTAGACATCATATATATTGACTTCTGCCTTATACCATCATGGCCATCATTAACGTCATTATTATGATATGTACATATTTTTTTCTGCAGTCAGTGGCGTGTTCTGACTAGTTTTCTATCTCATACTTTTTTATTATTCTGGAGTTAGTATTTGCAACATTTTATTTTTCATTACCTTGACTTTCAATGTATCTCTTGCTAATTCTTTCAAAATACTCCAACAGAACTTAAACGCTCTTTCCAATACTTTCCTTCCTGGTGGTCGAACACTGACATCTGGTGATCATTTCTTAGCTGAATTGTATTTTTCCTTAAAGACCTCCCTCTTGGAATCCTCTACCCTCATGCTCTCATCTTGACTGGTTAGTTTCTAGAATGGCTGCATAACTGTCATATGAGATTCCCCTTGCCCTTCATCCTGGGACTTGCTTTTGTTTTTTCTTGTGTGGTTCATTGGTTTCCTATATTTCTTGACGTCATCCTTCTTACTTCACTCTCTTATCTTAAAGGAGCAACGCTGAGTAGCTTTCTGAGAAAGGGTGAAAGAGAAATATTATTTTCAGACTCTGCATGTCTGAAAATGTCTTTTTAAAATCCTTACCCTAACATAATTGATAGTTTGGCTAGATATAGAATTCCATGTGAAAATTTTTGTTCATTGCCTTTTAGTTCCCATTATTGTTGTTGCGAAGTTAAATGTCATTCTGATTCTATAAGCCTTACATAAAAGCTTTGTAATTTTTTCTTTTCTCCTTGATTGACTTTTACAATCTCTTCTTTATCTCCATTGAAGGAGCTGCAAGCCAGTTTTTGTCCCCACCCTTGGGGGAGGGCAAGGCAACCAAATCTGTTTCCAACAGGTCTTTAAACTGGGCTATTCTGTTTCCCCAAAGAAAGTATCTCCAATCTTCTGCCTCGTGAATAAACAGCAATTTCATCATTCTGGGGCAGGGACTGTTTTCACTCTTCAGTATGCATACTCTGATTTTCAGTATCACCTGATGTCCCCAAATCTAGTAAAATTTCTCCAGAGAATAAACATTTGTGGTAGAAGTGGGGAAAACTTCGATCACCTGTTTCACAGATCCCATGTCTTCTTTTGGACCCGTACGTTATCCCGCCCCCACCCAAGGTAGCCACGGCCTCCAACCCAGGGCTTCAAACCAGTTCATTGTGGTTGGAACCCCTGCTGAGAATTTGCATTTTCACCCAGATATGCTGAATCAGAATCTACATTTTAACAAGATTCTCAAGTGATTCTTATGTATAACAAATTTTGAGAACCACTACTCTGCTAGTGGTTCTCAGAATTGGTCCCTAACCAGCAGTATTAGCATCGCCTGGGAACTTGTTAGAAATGCAAATTCTCAGCAGAGGTTTGAACCTGAAGGAACCTGTTAAAAGCCCTGCTCCAACCCCATGGTTTTCATCAGCATCTTCATCTACTGGCTTCCACAACTTTGCTAAAAAGGTATCACTAAATCATCTACTTTACATACTATAAAAATTTGTCACTGTCTCTCCCATTCTCTTTGCTCTTATGAATTTATACTTTATCCCTTAACTGTCATCTTTGTGCAGTTTTAGAAAGAAGGAGAGAGAAACATACAGTTTCAAGCTTCCATTTTATTTGCAAGCTGCCAAGTTTAATCAGTGGCTTGTTTTTTTGTTTTGTTTTGTAATGTTTAGCTTTCAATCTCAGTAATCTATCTAGTTCATTCAAATATGCTTCCTGGAATTACTTTCAACCTTAGCATCTTCTTGGTATCTCAGAGGCCATATACCTTTTTTGGGGTGAAATGCATAGTCATAATAATTATACCTACAGACAATGCAATATGCAGTTGTAGGTTATTGCTTGGTTAGTTCACGGATCTTACACAACTATCCTCAGAATGCTAATTTTGCGTACAAACCCTGCGAACACTTACTCCCACAGGGTGAACTACAAAGTTTACAAGTTTTTAAAAGGGAATGAATAAGATGAGGCAAAAAAGAAGAACAGCATCAACAGGTCAATAATAATAGGACATTAAAAGAAGCTAAAACAAGAGTGTGCATACTTCATTCATTATTTTTATCTGACTTCATTCTGAATGAAATTTGAGGTAGCTTAAAGATATATCCTGAAAAAAAAAGCACTCAGCCAAACAGGCAACTCGATATTAGAATTCAACTTATTACCACAGAAGGACCCCAGGTGTGACCACAGAGTCTTTCGTTGTTACTCATCATAAAAAGATTAACAAAACGCTGCTGCTGGAATGGATTCATTCTTGGTAACACTGATAAGAAAAATTAGTAAAATACATAATGATAGCTTAGTATTCAGCATTGTTGAGGTCTCACATTCATAATTTTTTCTAGTTTGGGGAACCTTGATTGAAAACTAGTCCTCAGGAAAGCCCAGAAGCCTCTAACACAGAATATGTGGGAAAAGGTTAAGAGAGGCACTGTGAAGGTAAGGCATCTGGAAGGAGAGATGGTTATTATCTAAAAACACCCAGGAGCCAGGAAGACAAAGAAATTAATTCTCCTCAGACTGAATCCCTTCTTCCCCCAAACAATTATTAAGCACTTATGTCCTGGCCACTGTGCTAAGCTCCAAATTAGTTCTAGATCCTACCCGGTTTGAGAAACAAAAAGGTAGTACAGCTAAAATCTTCTCTGGAGTCAGAAAGGAGCCCTGGTGGGGCAATGGTTAAGAGCTCGGCTGCTAACCAAAAGGTCAGCAGTTTGAATCCACCAGCTGCTCCTTGGAAATCCTATGGGGCAGTTCTACTCTGTCCTGTAGAGTCACTATGAGTCAGAATCGACCTGATGGGTTTATGGAGTCAGAAAGCTCTGGGATTAAATTCTGGCTTCCACTTACTGACTTTGCAACCTTGGGCAAGTTCCTTAACCTTGCTATGTCTCAGTTTCCCAGCTATAAAGAGAGATAACAATAATAGCTAAAACTTTTGTAGCACTGGTCTAAGCACTTTACATTTATTAACTCATTTAATTTGCTAACATAAAAACCATATGAGGTAGGTACTATTATTACTGCCATTTTACTACTGAGGAAACTCAGTACATATCTAGGATTTGAACTCAGGCAGACTAACCCAAAGATGTCCCTAGGTTATAGGATGTACTCATGAAATATTTTTGAACAAATGAAATTTACAAAGCTTATACTGATGCCTTGTACACTTCCATTTAATTATGACAATTGCAGTGAGATTTTTATTTTTCCTCTAGAATTATAAAGGGACTACAAACAAAGCCCCCAAAGAGAAAAAGGAGATTAAAGGAGGAAAAAGAAGGACAGGAATAGCGAGAGAAAAAAACTGATACTCCTCCTTGTCCTCTGTCGAATCTACAGCACCTTCTTGCGGCTTCCAAAGTTCTGCATACGGCTCTCTGACTCTCCATGTCTTGAAACATCTAAACACCTTAGACTCTTCTCTTTCCCCAACCTACTATTTATCCTCAAGTTTAAAAAGGTAATACTACCTCACTACATGACTACGTGGCACTATGTAGGTGTCACATTCTCAACCATTTGGCATCCACTGCTGGGCTGGCAGTGGCTTCCAGCTCCTCTTCCCCAGTCTCAGAGCCACCATAGCCTCCATCACTAGCCTCCTGGGTGGCAGTCTCTCCCTACCTCAGTCCAAGAAGAGGTTGGTTTACTTCATTTCTCTGCATCCTGTTGACCACAGAACAAAGTCCCA